TGGTTTATTGTGCCATCCTATCCTAAATGAAATGGCATTGACTTAGCACCACTTCTGTGACATCATAGAAGTGTTCAAATCCTGGATCAGTCTGTATCAGATCCGTTGCAGCCCCTTTTTAAGAGATTTGGGTATGGAGGAAAATAGAGAGGGTTGTGTTTTCTGACACTTGGTGAGTTCCCTGGAACACCGGGGACACATATTCATGTAGAAAAGACGTACAAAAGTGCATTTTACATGATAGGTCCCCTTTAAGTCTGTAGAGGAGACAAACTACCCTTGCCCTCATATAAAGATTTTAAGGTTATATTCTAATATTTGTTAGATTGTAGTTTATTCTACCTCTGCCTTGAAACTTTAAATCAGTTCTTACCTGTGCCAGAATGCCAATGTTTTAATGTTGGGTTACAATTTGCAATACATTTGTATGAAAACCTGCTACAGCTAAGGTCCATTATAATTGATCATGGACCTTAGTTCATTTATAAACGAGATGTCTGCCGCTGTTGACGGGTCATAAATACAACAAACCATGCATGATGTCATCTCAGCTCAAAGTCCGAGATGGGAGTTGACGGGGCCAGCGAGAGAGAGAGCAAATGCGCAGCGGGGTTTCTGGGAAATGTGGTCTTTGTGTGGATCACCTTCCTCCCCTGCAGAGTAATGACATTACTGCGGCGCTGCCTGGCTGGACACTTATATAACCTTATGTAACCCTCTGTATACAGCTGTGTGTGTGTGTGTGTGTGTGTGTGTGTGTGTGTGTGTGTGTGTGTGTGTGTGTGTGTGTGTGTGTGTGTGTGTGTGTGTGTGTGTGTGTGTGTGGTGTTTGCGTGCTCTGTACAAATTGAGGACTTTTGTTCTTTTCCAGTGTAGAGTCACGCGAAAGTGTGTGTGTGTCTCAGGACAGAGCTCCTGCCACACCCAGTAGGCGAGGCTGCTGACTGTAACTGAAATCCAGGGTGTGGACGCAGACGGTTAGCTTAGTGCTTTAATCGTGCGTGTGTGTGGGTGGCAGGGCTCAGATGTAAACATGGTTTCATGATGCACTTTTTCGTCACACTTCTTGTAAAATGGCGAGCGAGAAACAGAGAAGGTTTTTCTTTCAATACAGTTTTACCTACATCATGGTTGTTGAATGAATATCATAATTAAATCGGAAGATCGCAGTAAAAACATGACAACATAATTTAGATTGAATCTAAGAGGGAGAATATGGGGGTGTATGTCGTTTCATTCTCTCGTTGGTATGAGGAAAGAAGGAGTTAAGAAATGTGAGAGATAAGATATGAAGGGAAAAGGAGACGCAGTGAAGTGGAAGCTGTGTGGGACTCTGTCGCCCCCCTGTGGCACAAACATAACGTTGAAATAAACCTGCTTTCATGATGTGGCTATGGATAATGTATGATTTTTTTATTTTTAACTCATCACTGCCTCCCGTTCCCCCCTCAGGTCGGTGATGGACCTGGAGCCCGTGGACCCAGACTCTCCGGACGTCAAGAGGAGGCGGATCCACATGTGTGATTATGAAGGCTGCCAAAAAGTTTACACCAAGAGCTCCCACCTCAAAGCCCACCGGAGGATACACACAGGTGAGAGCTGAGCAGAGAAGCAACATCTGTCCAGGTTTAAAGGAGCCGTTCGCCCCCAAAAAGAACTTCACTGCCGGTTACATTCTATTATATTTAGCTGATGCTGAAGTGTTGTGAACTCAAAACATTACAAAACCTGCAGCTACATTTGGCTCAAAAGGCCTAACTATTGTAAGTGCCGATGGATTAGTTTCAAATGAGCTAAACTTCAATCAAAGAGTGAGCATTTTTCTGCTGGTATATTAAAGTATCTACAGAGAGTTTAACCCTTAAAAGGTCCACCAGTCCAAAAGCTAAAAGGTTATTTGCTCTCCTAAAGAAAATGCTACAAAATGGTGTTGCTGTTTTATCTTCTCCAGGTAAGTAACACAAACACTGGTGTTCTGTGAAAAGCTTGATAATTATTAGACATAAAAATTGCAAAATCATTTTTAAACGGTGAAGAGAGCCGTAAATAAAAAGTTGAGCAGGCTAAATGCTTTTGTTTGGTGTAATCAACATTTTCCACTTACATTGAATAATCTTACAGTAAAATATCGTTTGAAAAAAAGGCAGAGACATTTTACCTGGGCTGGGAATTCTGGGAAATGTAGTTCAAACCTAACTGAAGCAGATCCGTCTGTTTCCACCAGAATCCAAACACTCTTCTCGCCTCCCATCTTTTTCTAACCGCCTCCCTTCCTGTCATCTCTCCTCCTAACTCCTTGTCTCCTTGTCTCCTTCCCCCCCCCCCCCCCCAGGAGAGAAACCCTACCA